CCTCTCTCTCTCTCTCTCTCTCTCTCTCTCTCTCTCTCTCTCTCTCTCTCTCTCTCTCTCTCTCGTGCGCGCACGCGCGACGACGAAACTTCAAAATGGAATTTCGTAAACGCGACGTCTACGATTTTTATTGTTGCCAAGCTTGCATCTGTTTTTATTACTATCGGTGCATGGTAGATTCGCGCGCGTAGCGAGTTTCGCGTTGTCGATCGCATGGTCGTATTCCCGAACTGGTTTACGTTTTATTCTCCTATTTGTTTTCCAATCGGAAAAATATCCGAGCCAGTGGAACGCGCGATTTATTTTTAAACGATACGAATATGAGGGTGGACGCAAAATAGTTCCGTCCAAGAATACGGGAGAGAGTTTGGATTTTTCGTTCCTCCTGATTGACGCGCGTTTAAGAATCTAAATTCGTACGTGATTGAAAGTAGGTCAATCATGACGCCACTCCCAGGAGGAATCCGTCTCCGCCGGGAACTCTATTGGCAACGGTGCGGAATCAAAACACCGTGTGCTCTCCGGGAGCTCTCCTTTCTCGAAGCTTCAATCGTCTATTCATATCTAAGGTGATCTACAACGGTCAATCGAACTGCACGTAGACATCGCACGCAAGAAGTCGTATTCGATTTCAGACGCGAAATTCTATCTAGCCAAAGACTATCCGCATTTGATACAAATCACATGGATTTATGCCACTCTTACATCAGATTCTTCCAATTTTGTTTATCGTAAAATTATCACGGAATGAGAAAAGTCTGTGCGTAGTCTTAATTTTTAACGCGATGAAAATTTGCATCTCCGAAACGAGGCTTACAGGCTTTAATTCGAGCTTTCTCGCGATTTTTCATTACTGAAATTTAATTTGAGAAGCAAAAAAGAGGATGGAGCAGAAAAGTGAGAGAAAGAGACTAAAGTGGCGTTTTTACGTTCGTCGTGACACCGGGATGGACGAACACCATAACAGGTGGCTTCTCCTGGGGTACGAATCGGTAGAACTCGTTGCCATCCTTGTACCACTTGACCGAGTACAGCTTCTCGCCGTCCAGATTAAAGTTGCACTCGAGGCTTATATTTTGCCCGAGCACCACGTGCTGCGGCACTATCAGGTTCAGCATCCTCAGGCCATTTGTTTCTGCAACACACACACACAGACGCGGGAGGTAAATGCGGAGATCGGAGAAAAGGCGCATGAGAGTATACGCTTGTGTTGAATGTTACGCGAATGCGAGACAACGGGTTTTCAACAGGAAGATCTTGCTTAAGGAAATTAAATTAGACACGGGTAATTGGAGTAACAGTTTTCGCAGCTGTTTTTGTGGAACATTTAATTCTATTGTTGAGAACAGACATCAGTTGAAGGAATAATAGCAAGTTCGTAATTAAAATATTGAAAGAGAATAAGATATATTAGGGAGCACTCAGAATTTACTACATTCTAATTTATTTTTTCATAAATTTACAGAAATTGGTATAAAAATATATTAATTTCTTTCAATTTATTAAAATTTATTATCCAAGTTTTTCTCTCTATTTCACGAATAATTTTCCTAAATTTTTAAATTTTGATTATTACTATTATTTTGTTATTATTACTATTTTCATTATCAATTTTATTTCTTAAATCTTGATTAACTTATAATTTATAAAAAAAATTCTTATACTGCTAATCCATCAGACTTTTCAATTAACTCCCTTTTTTCGTGTGAAAATTATTTTTGTTAATCTAGTATAGTCAACATTTTTAAAACATTTTGATGGTAATAAAATATTCGCTATTTAAACTTCACAAATAAAGAGAATAAAAAATCAAGTTTCAGATTAATATGATTTATATTTTTCGCCTGCCATTTTTTTTCGTTTGGTCGTTTTGTGATTGCGTTGATTCTAAAACCGGAAATTTACTTTAATCAAAGGTATATATTTCGCTATGTGCATTTTAAATAACTGTGAGAACAACAGTCACAACAGCATTGCTGCTTTGACTCGCGCGATTTTCTCGTGATAGCGGCGCATTCAAATGTTCCAAAATAATATGATAGATCATGAGATTCCCTCCGACGAGAATAAACGATGAAATTCGTCGAGCACGCGACTCAGGAAGATCGCGATCCCCTTTTGCGAGATGCGCGACATTCGAGTGACGTCATTCAAAGAGGGAGAGGAGATCAAAGGAGCCGCGAAGGAAGCCACGGCAACGAGGGCGACTAAGAAGACGCGCGCGACGTGCGTCTCTCTCTTTTCCGAGGATGCTCAAACGGATTCGAATCACCGAGAATATTTCGCGAGAATAGTATATAAATTATTTTATCCACGAAATCCACCGTTTGCTTGTAGGACAGAAATAGATAGAGAGATAGAGAGAAAGACAGAGAGAGAGAGAGAGAGAGAGAGAGAGAGAGAGAGAGAGAGAGAGAGAGAGAGAGAGAGAGAGAGAGAGAGAGAGAGAGAGAGAGAGAGAGAGAGAGAGAGAGAGAGAGAGAGAGAGAGAGAGAGAGAGAGAGAGAGAGAGAGAGAGAGAGAGAGAGAGAGAGAG